CCATTGTCGCTGGCCGGTCGGGCCGCGGGGAGGGAGGCCCGCCAGCGCTCGGCGCCGGTGCCTCGGTGCAATAGCGGCGCTGTGCGGCGTCGGGGGGCAGCTCGGCGGCAGCTGAACCCCGTTTTACTCCTGATGTGTTTTATGTTGTCACCAAATACATGCGAGTTTTGCTCCCACGTGTGGCGTGAGGCGGCGGAGCGGTAATCCGAGGCAATAACACCGCAAAAGACAAAGACTGAGGACAGTTTCTAGAAAGTAGCTCAGCAATCCGTCTAAGCTGACAGCTACCAAGTTACACTAGATTGCCTACAAGCCGTAAAAAGCAAGATTTATCGACAACAGTTCAATATAGAAGATGTTAATTACTGTTCTCATGGGAAGAAAAAACCCGAAATTCATTCGACATCCCTTGGAGGTCGATGGGAACCTCGTTTTAGACCACGAGAGGTGCTGAGCGAGGACTGATAGGCAAGGAGGCATGAGTCGCTTTTGCCAAGGTCCATCGGCGTTGCATTATAAACGTACAACTGCGTCTATCGTATAGTGGGAATATCAATTATCTTCCATTCGGAGGCGGCAAGCAGCGTACTTTAAATGTTCAAATATGAATTGTATTGCACATAAAAAACTAATTGCACATAAAATATTGCACATAATTGCACATAAAAAACTACCTTGACTAGATGGGAGAAAATGCTTCATCCGATGAGTCTAATTAAACTTCGGTGATTGGACCCAAAACACTAAACAGCAATGTTCAATAGAGCTTTCTAAGTATTTCTAGAAAAGATGATTTTAGATATCGACTGTGCCCAACTGGAAACATGAGTGCACTTTCGATACGCGTGCCCTGTATCCGTCCCATTTATGTAGCAGCGCAGCCCCATCTCTGTGCCGGCGGAAGTAGGGCCCGGTTCAGATGCAGCATGCAGCTCCTTTGCTGCCAAGTGACATTTAAATTGGAGAGGGCGGCTCGACAGTTGGGTTCACCCTTACACTAGGTACACACCTCGCAACGCTCCCAAAAAGAAAAATGACACGTTGAGTACGTGATACTTAGGGATAGTGACACTTGTCCACAGGATTTCCTAGTTACATGAACCTGGCCCTGCATCCCCTGGGCAAAACTAACATATGCTTGTTTCGTGACATGATTGCGCAACAAGGCACAGGGATGGAGGCACTGACAGACCCCTCACTCTCGCCGGCTTACCGTGAAAATGGCGCAGCTCCGAAGCTGCAGCACGGTTTGTCCTTTTGGATATTGGGTTGGTGGCTCCGACCTCTGGTATTTTCTCGCCGACCGCCGTATATACGAGTATGAGGCCTCGGTAGTTGGTTGATCCGCGTGATCACTCAGCAAAGAACCACCTTCGCCTCAGCTAACAATAAAATTAGCGAAAATCCATCGTCACCCGAACAGCCCAACGTGATAAAGCCACTTATTGCCAACCTGCGGCGGATTTTGGCGCACTCGTGGGCGATTGAAGACGGTGGTGCCCTCTGCAATATCTCGTCAGTCGTCTGTCGTCCTCCAACCGGGCAGTTGCCAGTTGCCAGTGGCGGCGGAATAGGGGGTGCAGGGGGTGCAGCTGCACCCCCATCGAAAAACATGGGGGTGCAAACATATCTTTTTGCATCCCCAAAATCCGTACAAGGGGCCCGTCGCACCATCCAATACATTTTCTGAAAACCAGTGATCGAGAAACGAACACTGATATGGATTCATCCGGGATGTCCAATTATGGTCAGGAGCGCCCCATGCTAGTCGTTGGGGCCCCCACACCGACTAGAAGTGTTCCGAGCCGCGTTTGGTGCTCTATGCGGCATCTGAGGGCCCCACGACGGCCTCAGAGGGCCCTTTTATGACGATCTCTGAGGGCTCCCACGACGACCTCTGTCCCCTGGGGCCCTACAACGGCCACTTAGGGCCCTCATGACGACCGCTGAGGGTCCCACAGAGACTCTAGGGCCCCAAGGAGACTCCAGAGGTAACGCTGGCCTCTGAGGGCCCTATGACGGCCTCTGAGGGCCCTTACGATCTCTGAGGGCTCTCACGACGACCTCTGTCCCCTGTGGCCCTATAACGACCACTAAGGGCCCTCATGACGACCGCTGAGGGTCCCACAGGACTCTAGGGGCCCCGCTGGCCTCTGAGGGCCCTCGAGACGGCCCTAGATCCAACTCAAGTCTGAGGGCCCATTTGGCTTCAGACGGCCCAGCGACGGCCTCTGAGGGCCCCAACATAACCAGGCTGCAGGGGCTATGCTGGCATCTGAGGGCCCTGCAACGGTCTATTGAGGGCCCTAACGATGGCCTCTAGCGGTCTTTCCAATGCCTCTGAGAGCCCGGCAAAGGTATCTGGGGGCCCATGAAGACCCTCACTATGGCCAAGGACCCTCATGACGACCTCTGATGATCCTCTCGAAGGCTTCTAAGGGCCCTCACAACAACTTCTGAGGACCCAAGGATGGTCCCTGAGGGGCTGAGGGCCCTGATGATGACCTCTCTGGGCCCTCACAATGGTCTCTAAGACCCAACGCAAGCTCCAAAGGCCCACGCCGGCGTCTGAGGGTTCCACGACGGCCTCTGAGGGCCTCGACGCAGGCAGGCTCCAGGGGCCATGCTGACTTCTGAAGGCCCTCTTGACGGCTTCTAGGGCCTAACGAAGGCTTCAAGGGCCAACGCTGGCCTCTGAAGAACCCTACGACGGCCTCGGAGGGTCTCACCTCAACGCAGGCAGGTGCCAGGAGACTTGGTGGCCTCTGAGGGCCCCGCAGAGTTCAGATTCAGAGTATCCAACGACCTTTGTGGACCTTACGAAATACGAAGGTCTCTGAGAGCTCACGCAGGCTCCTGGAATTCCACACTGATTCTCAGGCCCCATGTCGGCTTGTTGAGGCACTTTATCTGCTCTTGGTGCCCCGTCGCTGGCCTCTGAGAGTCTCAATGTCGAAACTTATGGGGCCATGGGCCCTACACCGGCTTTTATGGCCCCTACATCGACTCTTGAGACTCATGACCCATGAAATGTGGGACTAAGCGGCTTCAAAGTCCTAAGAATCCCCGTGCTGGTTCTAGTAGCCGCCAGCCGAATATTTGGGCTCACATGCGAGCTCCTTGGACCCCGTGCATATCCCAGGGGTCTACCCGCCTCTAAGATCCCATACATACTTTTGGGGCTCAAACGCTTGCCCCTGAATGCCCCACTGAGACCCCTTTTCTCTATTCAGTCCTCCATACCGGCTCCTTAGGCTAAACATCGGCTCCTGTGGCCTCCATCCCGGCTTTGGGGGGCCTCCATAAGGCTTTTTTGGGGTCCGATGCCGGTTTCTGAGGGCCCTCAAAAGACTTTCGAGCCTATACTGCCTTCTGAAACCTTTCAGCAACTTTCAAGGGACCGACCCTGATCAGGAGGGCTCATTCAGTCTGGGGAGTCTCTATGTGGTCGGTTTCCAAGGGGCTTCTAAACACGGTCTTCTTGGAACGGTCTCGTAGGGCACTCAATGGTCCACTGCGGATCCAGAAAAGTGGTTTGAGACGCTGCGGGTGGTGGCTAGACTAAAAGATTAGCCGATAAAAAGCCAGCTGCATTTGCTTCTTTATGCTTTCATTATTTGATATAGGTATGTACATTGTACACTGCAATTTCAAACCTTTTACAGAACTTGTGTGTATGGGGCTAGTTTTCCAAAATCTTCGTTTTTCAGAAATCAATAATAATCACTAAAAAAAAGTGAAGGGGGCCCAAAACTTCCAGAGGGGCCCCTTGAGAAAACTTTGCACCCCCATCCAAAATTACCTTCCGCCGCCACTGCCAGTTGCCACCACACCAGGTGCCGATTGCTATGCCTGCACCGGAGACGATTTTAAGTTTCACGTGAAAATGTTATTTCAGGACGGCCGAGATGACGACCTAACCAAAGCGTTCATGCTATGTATGTACGTGTAAGTAAATTTGCATTGCTGAGATAAACAGTAAACGCATAACACATTGAATGTGTTCGCATTGATCGAAACGCCTCCGAGCAAACTTATTGCCGAAAGACGGTTGTCCGTTGGGCGTTGCTAGCATCTTTTCGACCGTTGATGCTGCATTACCAAAGAGGCCATCTTAGATAACGCACCGTTCCTTCTATTCCACCCTCAGGTCTGAGGTCTGCCAATTTTTTCTCCTCCCCTTCACGCCTCTAATTCTCTGATCCGGTGCTGGGCAGTCACCTATATCCGGGGTGAGTCGTGCCTCCTCAAGAACAAGGTCAGGAGCGGTGGAGTGACCGTTAGCGGGGCTGGCTGCCCTGTCCACTGCAATGAACACTGGACAGTGGACAGGGCTGTCACCACAGCCCGTCACATAAGTTGCGCTCAGCAACGATGATACACCATGTTGGCCATACAGACCAATTTTTCACTCTAATTCCTGTCGTTCTTCCGGCTCTGCAATGATCTTATTAAACCGGAAGGACGCTGCAATGCAAAATAAAATAAAACGTATTAAAAACTCGAAGGTGATTTTTCGTCTCATTTCATTGACAGCTCTATAGCCGGATTCAGCTAAGGTGAGACAACACCTTTTAAAATTAGGTCACTTAACTTTACCTGGTCATAATCTGACTAAGTGACTTAATGCCAGCGGGTCGTACCAAGGCCGTTAGCATTATGGAATGGCGCTAGCCTGGCGAGGGATCAATGCAATGATAATGATAATGCCGTTTGTTTCACACCATCATTGGTGCATACACAGCATACAAGACCAAGTGGCACACAGTCATTTCACACAATATTAGAATACGTGATAAGAATCAAGGAATGCAGAACATAAAACTGCTATAGTTGCCAACTTTTTAAGGTTATTTGTGCTTTTTATCAATCTGACCCTGAACGATGAAAACATCAAACTATATCCTCTGAAGTCAAAATATTTCAACCTCAGCAGTCAGCCCACCCAGATACTAGTCAAGGCATCAACAGCTACAAAAGATACATCTGTGACAACCCATTTATTCAATCAGATTCAGGTCTTTCGCAACAGTATGCACCGATACAAACATCATGTACTTCTTGTTGTTCTGGTAGTTATCGATGGTTCGGTTGCGCATCTCCTTCCAGTCGTACAGTTCGCGGTAGAGAGGTCGGACGTACTTGAGCCTGCCGTGGGTGTTCACCATCTCCAGAACAGCCGGCACCTGCTCCTTCCACCGACCCCTGACGCACAGTCGCAGCCAGCGGTACCGGATCTCGGCGTTAGCGCGCGCGTTCATGTCGTAGAGCTGCTCCATCAGCTTCAGCTTGGTCAGCGTTAGTGGTGGCTGCTCGAGAAGCTGCGACAGGAACTCGATGATCTGGATGGTGGAGAGAGCGTTGATGTCAGCAGATGAGAAAGGCGCCGGGCTGGTTTCGTTCCAGTCGACCCATTGCTGACGCAGCCGACTGCAGGAGTCGATCAAAGATGTGTCGAACATCGGCGTGTAGGGCGGCATACCGGGAGAATCGAACCACGCCTTCCAGTCGACTTCAGCAAACAGAGAGTCCTTCGATCCCTTGGAAAAGTACTCAAAGAGATAGGAGAGGAAATCCCCGGAGTCGACCGCTAGGTACTTGTGCTTGTTCACGTAGGACTTCAGGAATGCTTCCATCTGGTCACTTCCGTCCATGAATTGTTCGAGATACCACAACAGAGCGTGGCCTTTCTCGTAAGCGATGAGTGAGAAGGCATCCTCGGGGTCAACGCCTTTCAACCTCGGCACGAGCCAGGTAAGGGGGCTAGTGATGCCGATCGTTTGCACGGTGTCATTGAGCTCCTTCCAGCCACTGGATGCCGTGAGATGCATCACAGGAGCTCCTTGTAACTTCCCGAGGATCTTTCTCTCGAGGAACATGGTGAAGCCCTCGTTGAGCCAGGAGTGCTCCCAGTTTCGGTTGGTGACCAGGTTACCGATCCAGCTATGGATGATTTCGTGTGCGACAACGTCAGTCATGGATCTATCTCCGACGAGAAGCGCCGGAGTGACGAACGTAAGACACGGGTTCTCCATGCCTCCATAGGGGAAGCTGGGCGGCAGCACCAGCAAGTCATACACACCCCAGAGGTACGGACCGAGCATGGTCTCGGTCAGCTGCAGCATCTGCTCCGTCTCGGCGAACTCGTGAGCGGCCCGATCGACAAGCTCCGGCTCAGCCCAGACGTTGGATCGCTCGCCCAGTGACCGTGAGGCCAGATCGCCGACCGCCAGCGCGATCAGGTAGGACGGAATCGGCACAGGCTGTCGGAACCGGAACGTCGTCCAGTTGCCGGTGGTTTCGTTACCTTCGCGAAGCGCGGACATGAGAGCTGTCATACCGACGGGCACAGTAATCTCGGCTGTGTAGCTCATTTTCACAGACGGCGTGTCTTGCAGGGGCACCATGGAGCGGCAGTGGATTGCTTGGCACTGCGAGAACACGTACGGCATCCTTTTGCCGGCCGTCTGCTCCGGAGTCAGCCATGCCAGCGCGGTGCTGTTGGCGCTAGTGCTGTAGGCGATCTTCACCCGTGCAGACTCTCCAGGCGGCAGCCAGTGGCGGCGGAAGGTAATTTTGGATGGGGGTGCAAAGTTTTCTCAAGGGGCCCCTCTGGAAGTTTTGGGCCCCCTTCACTTTTTTTTAGTGATTATTATTGATTTCTGAAAAACGAAGATTTTGGAAAACTAGCCCCATACACACAAGTTCTGTAAAAGGTTTGAAATTGCAGTGTACAATGTACATACCTATATCAAATAATGAAAGCATAAAGAAGCAAATGCAGCTGGCTTTTTATCGGCTAATCTTTTAGTCTAGCCACCACCCGCAGCGTCTCAAACCACTTTTCTGGATCCGCAGTGGACCATTGAGTGCCCTACGAGACCGTTCCAAGAAGACCGTGTTTAGAAGCCCCTTGGAAACCGACCACATAGAGACTCCCCAGACTGAATGAGCCCTCCTGATCAGGGTCGGTCCCTTGAAAGTTGCTGAAAGGTTTCAGAAGGCAGTATAGGCTCGAAAGTCTTTTGAGGGCCCTCAGAAACCGGCATCGGACCCCAAAAAAGCCTTATGGAGGCCCCCCAAAGCCGGGATGGAGGCCACAGGAGCCGATGTTTAGCCTAAGGAGCCGGTATGGAGGACTGAATAGAGAAAAGGGGTCTCAGTGGGGCATTCAGGGGCAAGCGTTTGAGCCCCAAAAGTATGTATGGGATCTTAGAGGCGGGTAGACCCCTGGGATATGCACGGGGTCCAAGGAGCTCGCATGTGAGCCCAAATATTCGGCTGGCGGCTACTAGAACCAGCACGGGGATTCTTAGGACTTTGAAGCCGCTTAGTCCCACATTTCATGGGTCATGAGTCTCAAGAGTCGATGTAGGGGCCATAAAAGCCGGTGTAGGGCCCATGGCCCCATAAGTTTCGACATTGAGACTCTCAGAGGCCAGCGACGGGGCACCAAGAGCAGATAAAGTGCCTCAACAAGCCGACATGGGGCCTGAGAATCAGTGTGGAATTCCAGGAGCCTGCGTGAGCTCTCAGAGACCTTCGTATTTCGTAAGGTCCACAAAGGTCGTTGGATACTCTGAATCTGAACTCTGCGGGGCCCTCAGAGGCCACCAAGTCTCCTGGCACCTGCCTGCGTTGAGGTGAGACCCTCCGAGGCCGTCGTAGGGTTCTTCAGAGGCCAGCGTTGGCCCTTGAAGCCTTCGTTAGGCCCTAGAAGCCGTCAAGAGGGCCTTCAGAAGTCAGCATGGCCCCTGGAGCCTGCCTGCGTCGAGGCCCTCAGAGGCCGTCGTGGAACCCTCAGACGCCGGCGTGGGCCTTTGGAGCTTGCGTTGGGTCTTAGAGACCATTGTGAGGGCCCAGAGAGGTCATCATCAGGGCCCTCAGCCCCTCAGGGACCATCCTTGGGTCCTCAGAAGTTGTTGTGAGGGCCCTTAGAAGCCTTCGAGAGGATCATCAGAGGTCGTCATGAGGGTCCTTGGCCATAGTGAGGGTCTTCATGGGCCCCCAGATACCTTTGCCGGGCTCTCAGAGGCATTGGAAAGACCGCTAGAGGCCATCGTTAGGGCCCTCAATAGACCGTTGCAGGGCCCTCAGATGCCAGCATAGCCCCTGCAGCCTGGTTATGTTGGGGCCCTCAGAGGCCGTCGCTGGGCCGTCTGAAGCCAAATGGGCCCTCAGACTTGAGTTGGATCTAGGGCCGTCTCGAGGGCCCTCAGAGGCCAGCGGGGCCCCTAGAGTCCTGTGGGACCCTCAGCGGTCGTCATGAGGGCCCTTAGTGGTCGTTATAGGGCCACAGGGGACAGAGGTCGTCGTGAGAGCCCTCAGAGATCGTAAGGGCCCTCAGAGGCCGTCATAGGGCCCTCAGAGGCCAGCGTTACCTCTGGAGTCTCCTTGGGGCCCTAGAGTCTCTGTGGGACCCTCAGCGGTCGTCATGAGGGCCCTAAGTGGCCGTTGTAGGGCCCCAGGGGACAGAGGTCGTCGTGGGAGCCCTCAGAGATCGTCATAAAAGGGCCCTCTGAGGCCGTCGTGGGGCCCTCAGATGCCGCATAGAGCACCAAACGCGGCTCGGAACACTTCTAGTCGGTGTGGGGGCCCCAACGACTAGCATGGGGCGCTCCTGACCATAATTGGACATCCCGGATGAATCCATATCAGTGTTCGTTTCTCGATCACTGGTTTTCAGAAAATGTATTGGATGGTGCGACGGGCCCCTTGTACGGATTTTGGGGATGCAAAAAGATATGTTTGCACCCCCATGTTTTTCGATGGGGGTGCAGCTGCACCCCCTGCACCCCCTATTCCGCCGCCACTGGCGGCAGCTGGACAAAGAGAGGCCGGCCAAGTGCGGGGTCCGGCTCGCCCCATTTCCAGTCGAGAGCTGCGCCAGAGGTCGGGTCGGTGACCTCGGTAATGTGGAGGTCACGGGTGTCGAGCACCACCCGTTCGGCGGCAGGGTCACGGCGCTCCACCTGGAGGTTCACTGAGCCGGTCAACACCTGCTGCTCGAAGTTAACCCGAAGCTGGAGGTGTGCGGCGGTGAAGACGGTTTTCGAAGGAGCGGCGAACGAGTAGGAGTCACCCTCGTCCCACGGCGCCAGATTCCATCTGTTCTTGGAGCTTGACTTCGCTCCTGCTGTCGTCACTGACCTGTTGGGATAAGGGATCGAAATTGAATGTGCTTCGTAATGCTATTAGAGTGGGTGCGGGCACCTTGATTTAATATGAACAGATCACACCACTGTTGCTCAGTGCTCAGTCAAATGGATTATAAATCATGCGCCATGCAATATAATAAGAGCCATTTAGCAATCGGACAAATATTTCTCAAATACGCTTCCACTTTCTATCCAGCTTATTTAAATAAATTCACAAACCTTTTCCTGGGCGTGGTCGACCCGTCTACCCACTGTGAGTGTGACTGCTCGGCCGCCGACGGGTCTGGCAGGAAGGATATGCCGCACAGCACACACAAACCTAGTTTGGAAATCAGACGCGGTGCTGCCATGACTATCCGCTGCAGCGGCTGGGGCCCGACTGAGGCTCACGGGTGCAGATCGACTGAGGATAGCCAGCCTCCAGCATCCCGCTACTCTGGCCCGATTTGGCAGGCGCTGGCGCTGCAGACTACAGTGTGTATGTATGTCAGGGACGCGGGATAAAGCAAAACCGCTCACCTTGTGACAAACACATTGTAGTTCCTGATGGTGCATTTATTTTGGAAAGAGGCATGACTGATACCGAGACGAGATTTAACTTCTGACTTGGTCGTAAGAAGATTATGTTAGGAACAACTCTCGATACAGTTAAGCATAAGCTCATCTAATATATTTTGTTGTTAAAAATTCTTAACCCCCGCCCCGTTGGGGGGGGGGCAATTTGGCCCCACCCCCTGTGGTTTTTACTGAATAGCAAGAAAACGACGGCAGGCAGCGCCGCTAAATTTTCAGTACCTTCCCGGGCAACAATTTGACACCTTCACACCAAATTTCAAGTCTTAGGTCACCTTAGGTCAGGAGTTATTGAGGTCAAACTGAGGTCATGTTCGAGCAAAAATGAGCAAAAAACATGCAATCTTGAAACGCTCACCAAATCTACAGTTACCAAGCAATTTCAAAGTTCTTTATATGGTCTAGTAGACAAAAAGCGGCGCTACAAAACTACGATCTCGGATTGTCAAACTTTTGGGTATTTGACCCCCAAAAATTAAAAAATTGATTTTTTTTAGAGAAAAACTAAAAAAAATCCAAAAAAATCCGAATTTTGAAAAACGGAATATATGTGATAGTTAGTCCCTGCACTCTTCTATATACATACATACCAAATTTCAGATTGATATCTCGTTTTTGGCCACGTTATAGCGAAAAAACTGTTCAAAAATGATGACGTCAAATTTTTAAACTCAATTTTTAGCGATTCTAGACCACGTAGGGCAAAACAAATACCACCGTTGAACTCCCCGTGACGAGCTGCATCGAATTGATACCCATTTTATGCAAGATATCAACTTTGAAATCCGCGGTGAAAGCAATCCGCCCCGACCGCGGCACACGACCGTGCCGGACAAAAACTTCAATAGCGCCGGTCTGCCCTGTGCTAGCGCCTTAATTCTTTAACAGTATGATTCAGAAATGGTTAGGGAATGCTATGGTATGGTGCACTAACGGGCACACACTGTGTAGACTGCTGTAGGTGAAACGAAAGCAAATATTTTTTTAGTAAAAAACTGCGATTGTAACATGATGGCAAATGATTAGATCACCGCCAAACCAAAAACGATGCGGCTTTTTGTGACCCGGCATGAGAAGCAGCAGGCTTTAGGGATCGTTGCCATGTATAATTTTTGCAGTTGGTATTAAATGAACGCACGCTAGCGGCGTTTGAACTTGCAAGTATCTGACAGTCATTTTACGACATAGAAAATGTCACGACTTCTGACAATCCTACACGAGGCCGGTTTTTTTTTTTTTTTGGCGCAAAATGACCTTTGCAGTCGACGCGCCCTAAAGCCCCAATAAACAACAACAAGGCCGGTTTTGACAAAAATATGAAAGCTATGTGATTTCAGATGCGTCAAACATTTGTTTGGTTAGCCATATAGCGATTTACTCGGTTTGGTAAACTTGACTTTTTGGTATTTATAGCCACTCATCAACCCCATTTGCATCACTGTGCACTGCGCGTGTTAACCTTCGCCCCAGTGGGGGGGGGGGGGGCATATGTTACCAACCTATCGCGTTTTTTGCGTGTGAATAATAAGCCGCTGCGCGTAGCGCCGCGCCGCTCGGAGTAGCTTGCTGTACCTACATCAATTTTGGACCATGTTTGAAATTTTTTACCCCAGGTCATGTCAGATCAGGTCACCAGGTTAAGTTCACTGACCAAGCCTTAAAACAGTTTGCAATCATGTCCAGCCTGCAGTGTTTGTCAGAAAGGTTTTAAACTTGGTGGATTGCATGATGTTAGGGGCAAATATAATTTGTATATCTCGAATTTTTTTGTGACCTAAGGTCAGGCCAGTAGCGTGACCTTTCCATTATAATTCAATGGAGAAAAATGAAAATGCCTCTAGATCCGTGTGTACGCATAGGAACAGTCCAACTATTTCAGAATCACAATGTTTTAAACCACCGGTGACGACCGGTGACGTCTTTTTTGCTTATAGCCTCTAGAAAGGTCATCCGATGTCATTTGAGGCTAGAAACAGATTTTTGCCAATAGCTCTCGATTGGAAAAAGATAGAACGTTGGGGATGGCTTCGTTGTGTTTGCCTTGTAAAGACGCATCGAATGATTTGCAACATGACCTATTTGGGCCACCACGTGACCTTGACCTGAGGTCAAAGTTTGACCTTGACCTTTCCAGGTAAGAAATATATTTTTCGAAGCAACTGAAGGAGCGAAACACGATAGTGCCATTGCCAATTTTTAATTTTACTGGTTGAAAAGTTATTCGTGAAAATTGTTTATACAAAAACAGCAATTATCACAATGTTTGACCTATGGAGGCTTAACCGTTGACCTGACGTCAATTATGATGACCTTATCAAAAGAGGAGTTCAAAAGCTATCGACTGCTTTTCCGTGCGTTTTTCAAGCTATTATAGTTCCTGAGCTAACGGCATGCTTTCTGAAAAATATAATGACATTTTGCAAATTTTGACATTTGATGACATCTGGTGACCCCAAAATTGCTCTAAGATGAAAATGAATGAAATGCCTTCAAACGTACGCATTGAGAGCTATCGAGTGCTTTTTACTGCGTATTTCTAGCCCTTTTAGTTTTTGAGTTAGAGGTGGGTGGTAACATATAGGGCGATCTCACTAGGGCGAAGTTAGCTGAGACCGCCACTGGGGCGCGGGTTAAAATACGTGATAAGAATCAAGGAATGCCGAACAAAAAATGGGGCCACTGTTAGTTCTAGTTGCCAACTTTTTAGGGTTATTTGTGATTTTAGGCATCTGGCCCTGAACGATGAAAACGTCAAACACTATCCTCTAAAACCAAACCATTTTAACTTCAACCGAGATACGAGTCAAGGCATCAACAAGTACAAAAGATACATCTGTGACAACCCATTTATTCAAACAGATTCAGGTCTTTCGCAACAGTATGCACCGATACAAACATCATGTACTTCTTGTTGTTCTGATAGTTCTCGATGGTTCGGTTGCGCATCTCCTTCCAGTCGTACAGTTCGCGATAAAGAGGTCGGACGTACTTGAGCCTGCCGTGGGTGTTCACCATCTCCAGAACAGCCGGCACCTGCTCCTTCCACCGACCCCTGACGCACAGCCGCAGCCAGCGGTACCGGATCTCGGCGTTAGCGCGCGCGTTCATGTCGTAGAGCTGCTCCATCAGCTTCAGCTTGGTCAGCGTTAGTGGTGGCTGCTCGAGAAGCTGCGACAGGAACTCGATGATCTGGATGGTGGAGAGAGCGTTGATGTCAGCAGATGAGAAAGGCGCCGGGCTGGTTTCGTCCCAGTCGACCCATTGCTGACGCAGCCGACTGCAGGAGTCGATCAAAGATGTGTCGAACACCGGCGTGTAGGGCGGCATACCGGGAGAATCGAACCACGCCTTCCAGTCGACTTCAGCAAACAGAGAGTCCTTCGATCCCTTGGAGAAGTACTCGTAGAGATAGGAAAGGAAATCCCCGGAGTCGACCGCTAGGTACTTGTGCTTGTTCACGTAGGATTTCAGGAATGCTTCCATCTGGTCACTTCCGTCCATGAATTGTTCGAGATACCACAACAGAGCGTGGCCTTTCTCGTAAGCGATGAGTGAGAAGGCATCCTCAGGGTCAACACCTTTCAGCCTCGGCACGAGCCAGGTGAGGGGACTGGTGATGCCGATCGTTTGCACGGTGTCATTGAGCTCCTTCCAGCCACTGGATGCCGTGAGATGCATCACAGGAGCTCCTTGTAACTTCCCGAGGATCTTTCTCTCGAGGAACATGGTGAAGCCCTCGTTGAGCCAGGAGTGCTCCCAGTTGCGGTTGGTGACCAGGTTACCGATCCAGCTATGGATGATTTCGTGTGCGACAACGTCAGTCATGGATCTATCTCCGACGAGAAGCGCCGGAGTGACGAACGTAAGACACGGGTTCTCCATGCCTCCATAGGGGAAGCTTGGCGGCAGCACCAGCAAGTCATACACACCCCAGAGGTACGGACCGAGCATGGTCTCGGTCAGCTGCAGCATCTGCTCCGTCTCGGCGAACTCGTGAGCGGCCCGATCGACAAGCTCCGGCTCAGCCCAGACGTTGGATCGCTCGCCCAGTGACCGTGAGGCCAGATCGCCGACCGCCAGTGCGATCAGGTAGGACGGAATCGGTACAGGCTGTCGAAACCGGAACGTCGTCCAGTTGCCGGTGGTTTCGTTACCCTCCCGGAGCGCAGACATGAGAGCTGTCATACCGACGGGCACAGTAATCTCGGCTGTGTAGCTCATTTTCACAGACGGAGTGTCCTGCAGGGGCACCATGGAGCGACAGTGGATTGCTTGGCACTGCGAGAACACGTACGGCTTCCTTCTGCCGGCCGTCTGCTCCGGAGTCAGCCACGCCAGCGCCGTGCTGTTGGCGCTAGTGCTGTAGGCGATCTTCACCCGTACAGACTCTCCAGGCGGCAGGTGGACAAAGAGAGGCCGGCCCAGTGCGCGGTCCGGCTCGCCCCATTTCCAGTCGAGCGCTGTGCCTGAGGTCGGGTCGGTGATCTCGGTAATGTGGAGGTCTCGGGTGTCGAGCACCACCCGTTCGGCGGCAGGGTCACGGCGCTCCACCTGGAGGTTCACTGAGCCGGTCAGCACCCGCTGCTCGAAGTTAACCCGAAGCTGGAGGTGTGCGGCGGTGACGACGGCCTTCGAAGGAGCGGCGAACGAGTAGGAGTCACCCTCGTCCCACGGCGCCAGATTCCATCTGTTCTTGGAGCTTGACTTCGCTCCTGCTGTCGTCACTGACCTGTTGAGATAAAGGATCGAAATTAAATGTGCTTCGTAATGCTATTGGAGTGGGTGCGGACATGCTTTAATATGAACAGATCACACCACTGTTGCTCAGTGCTCAGTCAAATGGATTGTAAATCATGCGCCATGCAATGTAATAAGAGTCATTTAGCAATCGGGCAAATATTTCTCAAATACGCTTCCACTTTCTTCTATCCAGCTTATTTCCATAAACTCACAAACCTTTTCCTGGGCGTGGCCGACCCGTCTACCCACTGTGAGTGTGACTGCTTGGCCGCCGACGGGCCTGGCAGGAAAGATATGCTGCACAGCACACACAAACCTAGTTTGGAAATCAGACGCGGTGCTGCCATGACTATCCGCTGCAGCGGCTGGGGCCCGACTGAGGCTCACGGGTGCAGATCGACTGAGGATAGCCAGCCTCCAGCATCCCTCTACTCTGGCCTGATTTGGCAGGTGCTGGCGCTGCAGACTGCAGTGTGTATGTATGTCAGGGACGAGGGATGACACAAAAACGCTCACCTTGTGACAAACGCATTGTAGTTCCTGATGCTCGTTGCACGTGCATTTATTTTGGAAAGAGACATGACTGATACCGAGACGAGATTTAACTTCTGACTTGGTCGTAAGAAGATTATGTTAGGAACAACTCTCAATACAGTTAAGCACAAGCTCATCTAATATATTTTGTTGTTAAAAATTCTTGACCCTCGCCCCGTTGGGGGGGGGGGCAATTTGGCCCCCCCTGTGGTTTTTACTGAATAGCAAAAAAAACGACGGCGGGCAGCGCCGCCAAATTTTCAGTACCTTCCCGGGCAACAATTTGACACCTTCACATCAAATTTCAAGTCTTAGGTCACCTTAAGTCAGGAGTTATTGAGGTCAAACTGAGGTCATGTTCGAGCAAAAATGAGCAAAAAACATGCAATCTTGAAACGCTCACCAAATCTACAGTTACCAAGCAATATCAAAGTTCTTTATATGGTCTAGTAGACAAAAAGCGGCGCTACAAAACTGTGATCTCGGATTGTCAAAATTTTGGGTTTTTGACCCCCAAAAATTCATTTTTTTAACTAAAAAAAATCCAAAAAATCCGAATATCGAAAAAAACGGAATATATGTGATAGTCCCTGCATGGTATGTATATGGTATGTATATAGAAGAGCTCTTCTATATACATACCAAATTTCAGATCGATATCTCGTTTTTTGGCCAAGGTTTAGCGAAAAAAAAAACTGTTAAAAATGATGACGTCAAATTTTTTAACTCAATTTTTAGCGATTCTAGACCACGTAGGGCAAAACAAAAACCACCATTGAATTCCCCGTGATGAGCTGCATCGAATCGATACCCATTTTATGCAAAATATCAACTTTGAAATCCGCGGTGAAAGCAATCCGCCCCGACCGCGGCACACGACCGTGCCGGACAAAAACTTCAATAGCGCCGGTCTGCCCTGTGCTAGCGCCTTAATTCTTTAACAGTGTGACTCAGAAATGGTTAGGGAATGCTATGGTATGGTGCACTAACGGGCACACACTGTGTAGACTGCTGTAGGTGAAACGAAAGCAAATATTTTTTTTTAGTAAAAAACTGCGATTGTAACATGATGACAAATGATTAGATCACCGCCAAACCAAAAAAGATGCGGCTTTTTGTGACCCAGCATGAGAAGCAGCAGGCCTTAGGGATCGGTGCCATGTATAATTTTTGCAGTTGGTATTAAATGAACGCACGCTAGCGGCGTTTGAACTTGCAAGTATCTGACAGTCATTTTACGACATAGAAAATGTCACGACTTCTGACAATCCTACACGAGGTCGGTTTTGACAAAAATATGAAAACTATGTGATTTCAGATGCGTCAAACATTTCTTTGGTTAGCCATATAGCGATTTATTCGATTTGGTAAACTTGACTTTTTGGTATTTATGACCACTCATCACCCCATTTGCATCACTGTGCACTGCGCGTGTTAACCTTCGCCCCAGTGGGGGGGGGGGGGGCATATGTTACCAACCTATCGCGTTTTTTGCGTGTGAATAATAAGCCGCTGCGCGTAGCGCCGCGCCGCTCGGAGTAGCTTGCTGTACATTAATTTTGGGCCATGTTTGAAATTTTTGACCTCAGGTCATGTCAGGTCAGGTCACCAGGTCAAGTTCGCTGACCAAGCCTTAAAACAGTTTGCAATCATGTCCAGCCTGCAGTGTTTGTCAGAGAGGTTTTAAACTTGGTGGATTGCATGATGTTAGGGGCAAATATAATTTGTATATCTCGTTTTTTTGTGACCTAAGGTCAGGCCAGTAGCGTGACCTTTCCATTATAAGTCAATGGAGAAAAATGAAAATGCCTCTAGATCCGTGTGTACGCATAGGAACAGTCCAACTATTTCAGAATCACAATGTTTTAAACCACCGGTGACGACCGGTGACGTCTTTTTTGCTTATAGCCTCTAGCAAGGTCATCCGATGTCATTTGAGGCTAGAAACAGATTTTTGCCAATAACTCTCGATTGGAAAGAGATAGAACGCTGGGGATGGCTTCGTTGTGCTTGCCTTGTAGAGACGCATCGAATGATTTGCAACATGACCTATTTGCGCCACCACGTGACCTTGACCTGAGGTCAAAGTTTGACCTTGACCTTTCCAGGTAAAAATATATTTTTCGAAGCGACTGAAGGAGCGAAACACGATAGTGCCATTGCCAATTTTTAATTTTGCTGGTTGAAAAGTTATTTGTGAAAATTGTTTATACAAAAACAGCAATTATCACAATGTTTGACCAAAGGAGGCTTAACCGTTGACCTGACGTCAATTATGATGACCTTATCAAAAGAGGAGTTCAAAAGCTATCGACTGCTTTTCCATGCGTTTTTCAAGCTATCATAGTTCCTGAGCTAACGGCATGCTTTCTGAAAAATATAATGACATTTTGCAAATTTTGACATTTGATGACATCTGGTGACCCCAAAATTGCTCTAAGATGAAAATGAATGAAATGCCTTCAAACGTACGCATTGAGAGCTATCGAGCGCTTTTTACTGCGTATTTCTAGCCCTTTTAGTTTTTGAGTTAGAGGTGGGTGGTAACATATGCCCCCATCTCACTAGCGCGAAGTTGGCTGAGACCGCCACTGGGGCGCGGGTTAAAATACGTGATAAGAATCAAGGAGTGCCGAACATAAAATGGGACCACTGCTAGTTCTAGTTGCCAACTTTTTAAGGTTATTTGTGATTTTAGGCATCTGGCCCTGAACGATGAAAACGTCAAACACTACCCTCTAAAAACAAAATATTTTAACTTCAACCGAGATACGAGTCAAGGCATCAACAAATACAAAAGATACATCTGTGACATCCCATTTATTCAATCAGATTCAGGTCTTTCGCAACAGTATGCACCGATACAAACATCATGTACTTCTTGTTGTTCTGATAGTTTTGGATGGTTCGGTTGCGCATCTCCTTCCAGTCGTACAGTTCGCGATAAAGAGGCCGGACGTACTTGAGCCTGCCGTGGGTGTTCACCATCTCCAGAACAGCCGGCACTTGCTCCCTCCACCGACCCCTGACGCACAGCCGCAGCCAGCGGTAGCGGATCTCAGCGTTAGCGCGTGCGTTCATGTCGTAGAGCTCCTCCATCAGCTTCAGCTTGGTCAGCGTTAGTGGTGGCTGCTCGAGAAGCTGCGACAGGAACTCGATGATCTGGATGGTCGAGAGAGCGTTGATGTCAGCAGATGAGAATGGCGCCGGGCTGGTTTCGTTCCAGTCGACCCATTGCTGACGCAGCCGACTGCAGGAGTCGATTAAAGATGTGTCGAACACCGGCGTGTAGGGCGGCATACCGGGAGAATCGAACCACGCCTTCCAGTCGACTTCAGCAAACAGAGAGTCCTTCGATCCCTTGGAGAAGTACTCGTAGAGATAGGAAAGGAAATCCCCGGAGTCGACCGCTAGGTACTTGTGCTTGTTCACGTAGGATTTCAGGAAGGCCTCAATCTGGTCACTTCCGTCCATGAATTGCTCGAGATACCACAACAGAGTGTGGCCTTTCTCGTAAGCGATGAGTGAGAAGGCATGCTCAGGGTCAACGCCTTTCAACCTCGGCACGAGCCAGGTGAGGGGACTGGTGGTGCCGAGCGTTTCCACGGTGTCATTGAGCTCCTTCCAGCCGCTGGATGCCGTGAGATGCATCACAGGAGCTCCTTGTAACTTCCCGAGGATCTTTCTCTCGAGGAACATGGTGAAGCCCTCGTTGAGCCAAGAGTGCTCCCAGTTGCGGTTGGTGACCAGGTTGCCGATCCAGCTATGGATGATTTCGTGTGCAACGACGTCAGTCATGGATCTATCTCCGACGAGAAGCGCCGGAGTGACGAACGTCAGACACGGGTTCTCCATGCCCCCGTAGGGGAAGCTGGGCGGCAGCACCAGCAAGTCATACACACCCCAGAGGTACGGACCGAGCATGGTCTCGGTCAGCTGCAGCATCTGCTCCGTCTCGGCGAACTCGTGAGCGGCCCGATCGACGAGCTCCGGCTCAGCCCAGACGTTGGATCGCTCGCCCAGTGACCGTGAGGCCAGATCGCCGACCGCCAGCGCGATCAGGTAGGACGGAATCGGCACAGGCTGTCGAAACCGGAACGTCGTCCAGTTGCCGGTGGTTTCGTTACCTTCGCGAAGCGCGGACATGAGAGCTGTCATACCGACGGGCACAGTAATCTCGGCTGTGTAGCTCATTTTCACAGACGGCGTGTCCTGCAGGGGCACCATGGAGCGGCAGTGGATTGCTTGGCACTGCGAGAACACGTACGGCATCCTTTTGCCGGCCGTCTGCTCCGGAGTCAGCCATGCCAGCGCCGTGCTATTGGCGCTAGTGCTGTAGGCGATCTTCACCCGTACAGATTCTCCAGGCGGCAGCTGGACAAAGAGAGGCCGGCCCAGTGCGGGGTCCGGCTCGCCCCATTTCCAGTCGAGCGCTGTGCCTGAGGTCGGGTCGGTGATCTCGGTAATTTGGAGGTCTCGGGTGTCGAGCACCACCCGTTCGGCGGCAGGGTCACGGCGCTCGATCTGGAGGTTCACTGAGCCGGTCAGCACCTGCTGATCGAAGTTAACCCGAAGCTGGAGGTGTGCGGCGGTGACGACAGCCTTCGAAGGAGCGGCGAACGAGTAGGAGTCACCCTCGTCCCACGGCGCCAGATTCCATCTGTTCCTGGGGCTGGACTTCGATCCTGCTGTCGTTACTGACCTGTTGAGATAAGGGATGGAAATTAAATGTAATGCTATTGGAGTGGGTGCGGACACCTTGCTTTGATATGAACAGATCACACCACGTTGCTCAGTGCTCAGTCAAATGGATTATAAATCATGCGCCATGCAATATAATAAGAGTCATTTAGCAATCGGACAAATATTTCTCAAATAAGCTTCCACTTTCTATTCAGCTTCTTTATAGATTCACAAACCTTTTCCTGGGCGTGGTCGACCCGTCAACCCACTGTGAGTGTGACTGCCCTGCCGCCGACGGGTCTGGCAG